TCCACTTACCTCAGCCTCCCAAAGGCGCGGGATTACAGGCTGAGCCACCGAACCCGGCTAAAAAAATTTTTTTAAGTTAACTGATGTGGTGGCATGTGCCTGTTGTCCCAGCTACTTAGGAGGCTGAGGAGGAAGGATCGCCTGAGCCCAGGAGTGGAGGCTGTGGTGAGCTGTGATTGTGCCACTGCCCTCCAGCCTGGGTAAGAGAGTGAGACCCTGACTCAAAAAAAAAATTGTGTAACTAAAAAACAGTGAACTAAATAAGTGTGTTAGAGGGTGTGTGTGAGGGTGATGATGAAAGAACACAGAGCAGAGTAAGGGGTGGGGAGTGCTTGGGAGAGGCAGGGGCCTCACTATTGCCTGGGTGCTGGGAGTTGGTCTCCTTCAGGAGGTGACATTTAGACAGAGAACTGGAGGAACGGAATAAGCAAGCCTGGGGAAGAGTGTGCTAGGCAGAGAGAGCAGCCAGTGCAAAGGCCCTGAGGCACATGTGGTATGTCGAAGGAACAGCAAAGCGGCCAGAAAGGGAATAGGGCTGGGTTGCGTAGAGCCTTGCGGCCATTTTGAGGACTTTGGCTTTGATTAGGAGGGAGAGCCAGGCACGGTGGCTTACACTTGTAATCCCAGCACTTTGGGAGGCAGAGGCGAGAGGGTTGCCTGAGCTTAGGGGTTCAAGACCAGCCTGGGCAACTTGGCAAGACCTCATCTCTATAGTAAATCCAAAAATTAGCCTATGTGGCGGCGCACGTCTGTGACTCCAGCTACTTGGAAGGCTGAGGCGGAAGGATCGCCGGAACCCAGCAGGCCGAGGCTGCAGTGGCCATGAGTGTGCCAGTGCATTCCAGCCTGGGTAACAGAGTGAGACTCGGACTCAAAAACAAACAAAACTTCGGAGTGAGGCGTGAGACTTGCTCAGGCCAGGGGCTGTTCTGCCTTCACGTCTGTCAGGATGGCTCTGGCCGTTATAGGGAGAACAGACCATGGGAGGTGGAGCTGAAGTAGGGATGTTTAGGAGGCGACTGCAACCGGAGGGGGAGACAGTGGTGGCTGGGCCGCAGTGGAGGGGCTGAGACCCTGGATTCTGACAGATACAAGTTCAAGTCTTGTCTCAGCCATGAACTCACGTTGCCTCACTTTGTTTTATTTTTGATTTTTTTTAGAGATGGGGTCTCTCACTGTTGCCTAGGCTGAAGTGCTGTGGCATGATTTTTTTTTTTTTTTGAGTTGGAGTCTCACTCTGTCACCCAGACTGGA